ATAAACAGACACGTAGAGCTTGACTCACACTATACCGATTTTCGTGCATGGTCGACTTATCTGGACCCAGCCTGAAACAACAGCAGGCTGTCCGTGCTCGGTAAAGTAGAATTTCACTGACTCTTAACCAGCCCCCCCCCCAAACACGTGGCCCACAGTCCAAACGTTTACACCTTCCTCACCAGCACAAACTATCGCCGCAGGAGTCACGTCACCATAACCCTCCCACTCAATTCCACTCCGTTCGTTGTAACCTCTGCCCCCAAAACCTCTAGTGCGACATTCCCAGCCCTCACTTTTTATTTAATCTGACAACGAACAAGTGATACCTGTTCGAAAATTCATGAGTACAACTCGACTTTCCGAGAATCTTCTTTCATTTCATCATATCATCTCGGAATGCAACTAACTTCACTTATCCACCTAAAATCTGATCAGCTGAGTCATCAGTTGTAATTTCTCAGAGCTCAGACAAAGGAGAGAGAGTGTATTAATGAGGTCCTTTTATAGAATCAGGCAACTGGTAAACGAACATAATCGAGGGCCTAGGTGCTGTCACGTAGCCTAATTAAAAGCTGTTTCTAATTTTTCTGTTTTGTTTGTGAGACAAGGTACCTGGCTTTCCACCTCTACGCTTCATTTACTGAACTGAACCTCAAGCGGGCCTCGTACCGCCTAGGTTCTCTTCTATTAGCTTATGCCACTCTAATAATTCTTCCAAATATCGTTAATGTTGAAGACATCGAAGTAAACTCTTCTTCAAACTAAGCCTGCACAATAACGCAAGGCTCCTTATCGTCGTCATAAAAAGGCAATATGCAGACTAAATGATCCACTTTTCCATGTGTTTTTACCATTTTTACATCCATTCTTTTCTGCCTTGTTTAATCTACATCTGGAGAAATTTTCGGCGTCGTATGGGGGAAGAGAACAAACTGGCGTACGTCATTTCTAAGATAGATTTACGAAACATTTTTTAAATCCACCTTCACTAAGTATCTCCTGTCCTGTATCAGTGGCTGCCGGGTGGGGAGGACACTTTCAAAAAGTCAGCTGATCACCATCTGCCGGGACTGCTCATTGCTTACAATTTCTCCTTAAATCCTGATCGTTTGAGTTAGCGTCTGCTTTGCACACCACTTTAACGCGACATTCATAAAGCTGAGGGGGCATGTTGTTTGACATACTGTCAGCATCACTCTCATGGCAAAAATTGCATAATGTTAATCCTCAATCTACAAATACAATTTCATCTTTCTTGGTAATTTTGAAGATCTCCTTAACGTATTGGATCGTGTGCAAAATGAACATTAAACGATCGGTTAAGGAACTCACTCACCTTTTGTGTTTTGGGGCCCGTACTCGAGTCCCGCCAGCAGCCCCCAAACGGCGTGAATATATTATTGGTGCAATATATTACGGAAAAAGATACTGGAGCTTAGAATTACCATTTCTGGCCTGTAAACAGTCATCAGCCAGCCACACCCAAACGCAGAGATAGCGACCCCGAAGATCGAAACTGCGACCTTGTTGGCTATTCATCCAACGTTCTAACCATCAGGCTACGAGGTTTTGATTCCTGAGTTGCGGTGTGACTGGCTGATGATGGCTAACAAGCCAGAACTGGCCACCCCAGTCTCGATTGTATTTGTGGGTAATGGATTTCTGCCCATAGTAAACAATGCCTGCTACTTTGAATCCTTTTTCCACGCGTGGGTCAATATGCTCTGTTCTAGTTTAATCGGGTTCGCCTTGGGTATGCACATTCATTTATTGACCGATCATTCGCCCTGGTTTGCCTCCCTCGCCAACTTGACCTTCTCAACTCTCTTGGTGGAATTGCTTTTTCATTTGGTATGTCACTCTGTCATCCGCAGTGCATTTATCCAGTCTAGGAAACAGAAATTTACTCTTCTCCCTTATACAATGAAGTGCTTCATAGTTCATTGCCCCCTCACTCCCCATCTGATTTCACGCCCATTACCTGAGATTGGCAAAGTACTGCATTCATTTTTTAGTAAACTAACGATATTTTGGTGAAAACCCTGATAAATTTATAATTCTCCGTAGTTTTTGGAATTTTGGTTCATGGTCGTCGCCTTATTTAGTTTAATTAGTAGTCCGGTTTTCCGATTTTGGCAGTTTCCAAATCTTGAATACTTTAAAATGGTTCCTTCTGGTATCCGAGTCGTATTCTCTTCTAGTATTTCCCCGTCATATTTAATTCTTTTCAGCTATATTTGTAAAGTTTTAAACATCAACGGTTATGCTCCAATCACATCCTGTAGTCCATAATCGGATAACTAATAGATGCCTGTATCCTCCATCTAATTCTATATAATTATCCTAATTTTTCTCAGCTTTGCTCAAGCGTAATATCCTCATCTTTAAACACGTCTAACGATGTCATCTTCTGCTACTGGTGCTGTAAGTATTATCTTAGTCGATAAAATAGTATAACACCGATCAGATACACGACACACTCCTCCGCCC